CAACAATGGAAAAAGTTTCTTGCAAGTGGTACAAACAAAGAAAGTCTTGTGCAGTACCTGTTTGAGACATGGAAAACCTACAAAGGGGTAGATTTCAAGGGTTTAAGGGTTTACCTTGCCCATGGCAGTCGTCACATTTTTTCTGCTGTTACTGTGGTTGATATTCATGAAGAGCCACTCCTAGCAGATACACGGTTGTTCCTCCATGCCAAATATGCAGCCCAGGATTGTGAAGATGTAATCTGTAGTCCTGATACAGATGTATTCATCATTGGACTCTCCCTACATTCACTCATAGAGGGGCATATCCACTTTCACACCGGTGTTGGCGATAGAAGACGCACAATTGATCTGCGGATGATTCGGCAGAGCTTAGGTGATTCTGTGTGTTCTGCATTAATTCGTCTTCACTGCGTTACAGGGTGTGATAGCGTGAGTGCCTTCTAGGGTAAAGGAAAAGCCAAGGAATTTAAGATGATTTTGGAATGCAGCGGCCATTGTGATGTTCTCACTGAAGTTGGGAAGGTGTTTGACATTGATGAGCAGCTTCTGCAGTCACTGGAGAATTTTGTTTGCAAACTTTATGGCCAGGATTGTCATAGTGTGAACACTGCTCGCTATTACATGTTTCGGCTTTCATGCAAGGAAGAGTTGGTAATGCCACCTAATCAAGATTCACTACACAAGCACTTTCAAAGAGCAAATTATCAGGCAGCAATATGTGAACCAAGTTTGCAACAATTCCTTGAAGTTTGCCTCCTACGGAGCATGGATGGAAGATGGATGAAGGCTACTTGGCCATTGAGTGGTCTTCATTGCCAGGAGCTCCGGAGTCTGTGCTAACTTTGGTTCATTGCACCAAAGATTACAAAGCAAGTCAGTGTTTAAACGTAGAAAAATGTACTTGCCTTGCAAACAGTTTGCTTTGTACAGATCTTTGTTTCTGTAAACGAATTAAATCATGACAAGAGCCAAATGATTGAGGATGAATATAGCGATCCACGTTTTCACTCGATCCTGTACATGCACTGAGCTATGAGCTGAGCACTAGCGCTGGTGGCGAGACTACTACCACATTCGTCACGACTTTGCTCGGGTTCCTGCAATTCATATTGCATTGACATTGGTTTTGGACAGGGAACCAGGAACCCTGTTTTATGTAGCTCCAACAAAGAAAGTTTTCTCAAAACCATGATCTGCAGACACAAAATTCTTGGTTTTTATTCGTCATTTTACTTCATAAGCCAACATGAAAAACAGCAAGAAGAAGTATTGCTGGGGACTTTGAGACATCATTTATATGGTGAAAAAATGTATTTCCGTTTTTCAGCTCCGTTATAGTGCAGCATTAATTGTTTCTTCAGAAATTGTTTATTTGCCACTAAATGGAAAAATATAGTGGTTGTTCCTTTGATTGTCCACTTCCAGGATGTTTATCATTTTTTTCTGTTTTCAAAATTCTTTAAAAATGCCTATCCTCATTTACTGGACACTTTCAAACACGTGAAGGACTGTCTGGTGTCCACTCTAGCTGACAGACAAAATCTATTAACGTCTGCATATTTCAGCCAGGCCTGCAGCTTTGTAAAAAGAGCCCAGATTGTGCCGTGTTATATAACTTTCTTTTGTTCACAAACCTGGCTCAGTGTGCTGCTGACCTCTTTTCAATAGGGGCCAGATTAGTATGCAGCAGTGCTGTGTGGCTCATGACTGCGGTGGCAGAGCGCTTTTGTCCCCGGTGGTGATCCGCTCGCTCTAAATGCCCCAAACCGTGGTATACTGTTTCAAACAAGGCTGGATTACCTCCACTTTTGAGAGTGAAAAAATGTCTGTAATGCCCAGCGGCCTGGTCTTTTGTTCCGAGTGCAGTCTTTTGTTACAAGGCCCTGTTCCCTTTGTCCGAATTTGGCATACGTGTCCGTATCCGGAATCCCCGGCAGGGAGTGGTTAAGAAATGGTGCCGACTTGTCAAATTTCAGACCAATCAGTAATTTGTGCTTCGTTTCAAAATTAGTGGATCGTAGAGCTGCAGATAAATCACTGCTCATAGGCACAAGAACAATTTCTTCCTGACAAATCAATCAGCTTATAGGCAGTTTCACAGTTCAGAAATCATGCTCTGTAGATTTCCTTCAGATGTGTTTCGTAATATGGGTAACAAACAGGTAGTCATGATGGTTTTACTTGACTGTAGTGCTGCATTTGATACAGTTGATCACATGTTGTTGCTCCGAATTATGGAAAATAATTTTGGTGTTTGTAAGACTATACTCACTTGGCTGTCGTTATACTTCAGCAACCCTTACCTAAGGGTTTTAATTTCAGGTGCTCTGTCGGAATGTATTGGTGTTGAATTTAGGGTTCCTCAAGGTTCATGTTGAGGCCCTATGCTTTTCATGGCTTATTCAAGTTCTCTGTTGAAAGTCATAGACAGTTACATGATAAGTGTTTTTGGTTATGCGGATGATACCCAGTTGTTGCAATTTTTTCTCCCAAACTGTGTCATCCAACTCATTCCTTTGCAAAATATTGAAAAAATATGTCGTTTCAGTTCAAGCATGGATGTTGAAACACTGGAAAAACAGAGGTCATTTTGTTTGATTCTATACAGCAGCTGGATAAAATCCACATTGACCATGTTAAAATTGGTGACGACCATTTAAAAATTGTTGACAATGTCTGTAGTCTTGGAGTCTGGCTGGATTCAAGATTGTCTTTGGACTCTCACATCAATCATATTTGTAAGAAGGTGAATTATAGCTCCAAAGCCCATTTGTTTTGTGCATGTTTTTTCTGTACACGACTTAGTGCTTTTGCAACTTTGGATCTTCTCCAAACTTGTACCAGTGAAGGACCTTATGCACAGATGGTCCTAGAACAATGACGTCATGATGCCGTCATCAAGTGATTTCTTATTGATTTTTCAATATTTATTTCAGCCCATTGACTTTGCACACGTTTTCAAGGCAACATTTTGGTTGTTCAGCAATATTCAAATGTCATCAAAGTTACACCAACGGAAAACCTTGAAGCAAAGATAATACTCAAATAATTACGTCATGATGATGTCATCAAGTGATTTATTATTAAATTATTAATATTTAAATATTACGTTAATCCATATAAAATCATCCGTGGCTTCCCACTACATGTACAATCTGCTTGCGGCACATGCCAAGTTAAAATTGGGTCTTCATTTCATTTCGTGTGGGTCAAATCATGTGATCCGTCCGGTCGAAACCCGAAGTGGGCTTATTGTTAAAAGTGGTAATTGGTACAACTTCCTTTCAACTGTGTTAGTGGGTGGGGGTATAGTATTCTTCAAATCATCTACTGATGATATCATGTAATGCATGATATCATGGCGAGCGCCCTCTAGCAACAGGTTGAAAATTTGGAAAAATGAATTTTGAATAGATGTCCATGGCAAAGTTTGTCCGAATAGCCCAAAAATTGGTGTATAAGATGATCTTTAACCAGTTAACACGTGTGAAATTTGGGGCTGATGACGTCATCATACCGAAAGTTATGATAAAAAGTCCTTTTATTCTTCCAAATCCGGTAAAAAATCAACCGTAACAGATTTAAGTGTGAATTGTCCATTAGAGGATAGCTAAAACATTGAAGTTAACTGCATGAATAGCATAAGTGGTGTACTTCATCATACAGATAAAGCGCCGACGACGAAAACCTCCTTACAAGTTGGCAAATTGCCAAGAACATGGTGCAGAGAGCAGCTGGCATTGGAACGCCAAAAGGGAAAAAATGTTTGTAATATCTAATCCGCATTCTTTCAGCGATAACAATAATATTTATATATGTATTTTGTATTGTACATGTCTGATTGGGTTGAAACCTTCCAGATAGTTACGAAAGGAAGGTTTATAAACGAAAATAGACCTCATTTGATGACAGTGTCATCAGTAGACGAGTCACATGACATTAAAGGTAAATCCTTTACATTGCTATATCTCCTCAAGTGCATGTCCAATTGGGTTGAATTTAGTAGGTATTTAGGATGGCAAAGGGTATAGATGTGTTAATGTCATGTGATGATGACGTCATCAGACAGTCATCTCAAGTGACATTAAAGGTGCACTCTACAAAGCACTATATCTCGTGAAGTACATGTCTGATTGGGTTCAAACCACATGAATATCTTAGAAGGAGAGTGCTTTAGACAAAAAATTACCCTTGTGTGATGATGACCTCAGCAGGAGACAAGTCACATGATATTACTGGTGCACTCTTTACAGCCTTTATATCTCCTGAAGTAAATGTGGCACTGGTTTGAAACTTTGCATATGACTATGATAATCAATAATACATCTTAAAACAAAAAACTCAGTAACAATTAGAACTTATGATATACAAAAGAGAATAGTTACATGTTGTTGCCAATTAGTAACAACTAACAGAGAAGTATCATTCAAATCAAATTCCAATTGTACTCATAAACAAGTAAAAGTATAATCTTTTAAAATATATACGTGAAAAAGCCGTTGCATTGTCCTTAACAAGCAGCAGGTCTAGTCTTTGTTTTCTTTTCTTCCCTTTAAAATCTCAAAGAATTTATACATTCATGTATAGTTCTAAATTTGGCTTTGAATTCAGAGCAGAATGCTCTGTCAGGGATTTAAGTCATGGTCATCTGTTTCATTGATATGGATTCGAGGGCTTGTTAAGAGAAAAATGACCACACGTTTGGTATTAACGAGAGCAAGACGTATTTGAATCGCTATTGTGCCACAGTGCAAAGTTGCATTTTTTTTCATTAAGTGATTCAGCTGTCAGGAAAGGTTATCATGGTCCACCCTTGCCAAGTGTCTGAGTTGCTGTTTGTGTTTATTTCTTATCACGTGTTTGTATACTATTCAGGCTTTTTCACTGATGTCTGTGATCAGTATGATTTTATGAGATACGTGTAGGCTTTAACTGCATATAATTACAGCAAGAATTACAGCATTAAGAATTATTACTTTTTCATTTGCCCTTTTTAGCTTGAGCCTTATAATGTGGCCTTAGTTGGAGAAGTGGAGGCCAAACTAACAGATGTACTTGATCAGCTGAAACTACATTTTGCTCCAGAGCCTGTTGGTATGGTAAGTAGTCATTTCTAAGGAAAATCCCAAAACTTTAAATGTTCTGTTCTCTTATAGAATGTGCAGTTCAAAAGGTCAGGCATATCTGGTAAGAAGAAGGGATTTAGAAAGTCTCCATTTGAAACAAGTTGTGTTTATTCTTGTATGTAAGTCTGTCAAATATTCAAATTGAGGACACCATGTTGACTGGTCGCCTTGCATGCATACATGTCCATCGCCATTTGGAAAATCACGGTGCACTTCATCACTCGTTGGTCAAATGTGCCCACATTCACGATCTAAACCTCAGTCTCTATAAGGTGTTTCCACCCATTCTTTTAAAAAATAATAGGTAGTTTCTTGTAGATGTACCAGACAGCCTCTAAAATTCTACTTGAAAAAAAAGCCTGTATTTAGTTGATCAAGTTCCAGAAAACCTCACCTTTTTTCGTAGAATTTTCGATGCGGAGTTTGGGCAACTCAAACCCTATCCATTTTTGCAAAATTCGATTAAAAATAGTGTGGTCCCTTGGGTTAGAAATCAATTTATTGCACCATGTCTACGGGGAGTCGGGCGACCACGTGTTTGTACACAATGCATGTGCAGTGGCCCCTACACATAGGCCCAGTACACAACCATAACTCACATCTGTTGAGAGTGTGTTTGTTCCGTGTCTCTGACATTGGCGTTGTTCAGAATCTATCCGGCCTAGACAGGCAGGTTTGCGCACCAACATTTTCACACCTTTTTCAAATCACTTTTACATTATTTTTGCACAGTTTTTGCTTTATTGTCACTTTATTTTTGCTCACAATTTTTTTGCACAACGTTCGCAAATTGTTCACTCTGTGCTGTTTGCACATTTTTCGCTATATTTTTGCAATTTTATTGCACTGTTTTCACACACTCTTCCCACCATTTGCTCATTTTTGCACCAGATTCACTGCGAATTCACAGAGGGGAAAAGTGACGGTCAAAATGCGAAATTCACCGGCGAATGCGAATTTTTTCCCAGGTGTTTTCCCAGGGATCAACTTTCAATTGCATTGTAGTGTATCTATATTTTTGGGTTACTTATTGGATTGGAAGTGTTTTTATCAGGTGATATTGCATTAATTGTTCATTATGTGCCACAGCCAGAATTCGTTGGATGCTTTGTGTTATACAGCTATGCAGACGGTGGTTGTTATTTTTTCCACTTTTATGAATGCAAAGTGATTATTCAAGTTTGAACAGTGAAACTTCTAGATTTGTGCGTGAAGTTGTAAGTTTACTCATTGCCTCTTCTCCTCAAAGGTCATTCCTGTCCCTTCCTGATCATTTTGATTCATGACATACTTGCAAAGACATTCATTATGACAGAGAGTACATATACACCCATGGAGTTTCAATTCAATCCAATGTGGGCGTTTGTTTTTATATCCATTACAGCCTCACTCTTGTCAGTCCTTTGACATGTACATTGACTACATCAATGGGAAAGTTAACATTTGGGCTGACTTCTCTTGGAAAAATAAGCAATAAAAGAAAATGCATAAAATTGGTTGAAATCTATTGGAAGGCATCACTTGAAAACTACTAAAGAACTGCTTGAAAAGAAAATACTTTAAGTTGATATCAGACAAATGTGGGGGGGGGGAAGTAAAATTCAGCCTTTGACATAGATGTATGTTTTCATTATTCCAAGCATCATCTCACACAACAGGACGTTAATTATAAAAGAAAGTTTCATAATGATGCATGTTTTGCTGTATAACTTAACAGATTGAACCTGTCCTGCTTACTGTGGAGAAGAATGAACAGACTTTTGAGAACCCAGAGGGCCCCAGGGGTGCTTATGGAGTCTCCTGGTCACCCCCTCAACCCAACTGGAATCCATGGCTCAACTGTAACATTGATGAGGGGCCATTAGCACAAGTGAGTCTTTAAAAAATAAAAATGGATAAAACAGTCCACCTCATTTTTAGAATGTTTGCAGTATAAACATTTTTAGAAGATTGTAGAGAGAAGGATACAGAAAGAGAAAACTCTAAAATTACTTCTGTATCTCGTCAATACTTGAGGATTTTTTCACAACAAACCAGTCTGAGGTGCAGTATGATATGTTGAAAAAATCTGAACTTTTTAAAATGTCAAGATACTTCAGCCATTATTCTCAACTACACCTGTAAGTGGGATCCTACAAATGCTGTTTCTTGAGAATCATTTGGACAAGATGTGTAGAAAATTCTCAATATAACATTGTTTTTTGTACACTCTGAGGCAGGACTGAAGAGCGATACCTGGTAAGTACATGACCATCTTAAGGTACGTCACATGGTGGCCCGGCCTCACATCTATGGACTAGTTAGACCTTTGCTTAACGTATACATGTACAGTACCGAGAGGATTACTCAAGCATGAGTTCATGTACATGTGCATATCACCTACTTCTAAACGTGTATATGGAGATCAGCAAGTTGCAGATCTGCATATTTCGTTGCACAAAGTAGTTCAATTCTTCCAGATTTCAAAGTCCACTTCATATTAAGAAATTTTTCATCTAATCCTTTTGCTATTTCATTTCATCCCTTCTCTAAAATCATTTTTCTGTTGAGTAGAAACTTCTTTATGTAACATGTTGGATTAATTCATTTTATTCAGATGATCTGAGTTTGTGTTGTATTGTTTTTAGATGACATTGGAAGATGTCAGCAAAGAACTCTATCAGGACTCGCAGCATAAAAGGCAGGATCTCAGGTTTCAAAAGGTAAAAGCAGTGCTGTGTTCTTGTCTTCAAGTGTTGACAGATTTATTGTTTTTCATCAAAGATGTGACTCCTAATTACTGTAATTTTAGGAGTATAAGCCGTGGCTTATACGTTGATTCTCATGCTGAAAAATGTCTGGGCGTCTTATACGGCGACTTTTGATGGACAAAATCAATCACAAAAGCGCCGCCTGGACCACGCATACCACTTGCTGGTGGCACAGTCATTTTTTGTTGGTTTACATTTACATCTTGTAACTCAAGCCTTGAAGAATAAATAAAGACTTAAGTTGCCCAGATTTTAAGTTAACAGAAGTCCATGAGTGATGGAGTCACGATACACACATGAAATGTGTCTAAACTTTACTTGCTCTGCTGTGGCAACATTTTTTAGTGATTATCTTCCCGCTTTTTATTCATGTTTATGGTGTGTTTTTTTGCAAACAAATAATCATTTTACTGAGATTTTTTATTGTTGTTATCTGAAGATTTATTTCTACCATTAAATAAAAGCAACCACTTAAATGGTTAATCTTCATGTGGTAAATCTTTCGCCTTTTTGCCAATAGTGTTCAGTGTGACTTGCCCCAGAATTTGGGTTTGCTTTCATTTGAGTTTTCTGATGACAACACTTTCTGTGGTCACATGGTTATTGGAAAGAGTCAGCGATTGGACTGTTCATGAATGGGTCTGCGGTAGCAGTCAGGCTAGCCTGAAAGCAGGATTTGTCACGGTTGCGGTACGGGTGTTGTATGCAGTGTGTGTGCCGTGTGCAGCATGCACGCAACACAAGTGGTTCTAATGCGAGGTCTCATGGCAGTTTTTGAAATTTTTGAATTGATTTTGCTCCGGATGTAGTGTTGTGGACTTTTCAAGTTACAGAGGTATTTTTAGAAATAGTCGGCCTATGAGATAAAATGGTCTTCCAACTTCGAGCTATCAAGAGTTTATTGTATTTGTACATCCTCGTCTGCATAACTTTTGCTGGCCGCTTGTAAAAAAGTCAACAACTGCAGCACGGCCTGCACAGGGCAATCATCCAGCCAGCAAAAATTGTGAAATTTTGAGGACTTAAACTTTGTTTTGAGTGGTGGCACACATGCCCACTTTTCTTACATTTATTATTAACCACTTCATACCGGGGCACTTTTCAATGTTGATGATGCTGGGCCGGCATAATTATCAATTTTTCCGTTTCCAAAATTCTTCAAAAATTCGTCATTTCATTTAATGGACGTTTATAGCCGCACGAAGTAATCTTTAGGCACTACTCTAAGTTGACAGGTGACCTTCGTTGATGCCCGAGTATTTCAGCCAGGCCTGCAGCCTTGTAAAAAGAGCCCAGATTTGTCGGTGTTATGTAACTTTCTTTTGTTCACGAATCTGGCTCAGTGAACTGCTGACCTCTTTTCAATAGAGGACAGATTAGCTTGTAGTGGTGCTCTGTGGCTCATCGCTGCAGTGGTGGAGCGCTTTTGTCCACGGTGGTAATCCACTCGCTCTCAATGCCCCAAACCCTGGTATACTGTTTCAAAACAAGGCTGGATTATCACCACTTTTGAGAGTGAAAAATGTTGATAATGCCCAGCAGCTTGGTCTTTTGTTCGGAGTACGGTCTTTTGTTACAGGGCCCTGTTTCCTTTGTCCGAGTTCAGAGACCCGGGCCATGCGTATAAAGCATACATCTCTAATTCCGGAGTTGGCGGAAGGAAGTGGTTAATGGAACCATTGATGCACCGTACTGCCACTTCAGCACACACTATGATCTTCTTGCTTGGATTGTCAGTGCTGCAGTACAGCTCATACACTGTTGATGCTCACATGCTGGCTTTAAATCTTAATTTGCCGATTTTTGTGTGCTGTGGCTTATACACCACGTGGCTTATATTATGAAAATTATGATAAGGCATTTTTTACCATCAGCTATCAAAAAAGTGTTATGAAAATGCATACAAATTGAAATGATTAAATTGAATGAAGATTTGAATGGACAGTGAATCAGAAAAGGAAAAAAATGTGTATCTAAATTTGATTGCTTGTTATAATTCTGCATGTCTGTATTTGTGTGTTTATGTATTTCATATTTCCCATACTCATTTCAGATGTTGGAAGAACGACATTCCCTACCCATCTTTGAGACCCAGCAGATTATTGTGGACACCATTGCTTGCAACCCTGTGGTTATCATCCGTGGAGCCACTGGCTGTGGCAAAACTACACAGGTCCCCCAGTTCATCCTGGACAGCTTTATTGAGAGAATGAGGGGAGCTTTCTGCAACATCATTGTCACCCAGGTACATGTATGGAGGGCAGACTTGTAAAGACGGAAATATGAAATAACAGTCCCTTGTCAGGTAGATAGTAATATTTGACAGCCTTCTGCGAAGTGTATTTAACATTCAAATAAGTACATGTAAATTGAATTGTAAAGATCTTACCACCTTTTATTTGTACAGTTGAAATGAAAAGGTAGATACACCTGCACCAAAGAGTTTCTCTTCTAGTAATTTGGACTCCAGTAGTTCCTTGTAGTGAGTTCCTTTGTGTGTTTGTTTCAGTGGAATAAGAAATCATTTTCTATACAAGTATTGAACCAACATCAGGTTTTGAAACGACTTATTGGGCTGCTTTTAAAAATGTGCCATTTTCTGCTGGTGCAAAATTACCAGACAGTACACTTCTTCTACACTTAAACTTTAGTGTTTTAGAAAATTCCCGACTGCAGTATGCATGTATCCATCTATGACATTAGCCCTTTGTTGCTTGAAATCTGATGGATATTTTCATGAAGTCAAAATGCTGGAACTTTATTTGGGTCTGTATATACATGATAGGATGCCCAGTTCTTTACTTTATCAGAAATATTTTTGGGTTATTTAAAATTCATACCTCATAGCCCTGGAGCTGAATTGTGTTGAAATACAAAGAAATTCTGTATTAAAAAAATTAATTTAAGTGTAGAGAAAAAGGATAATATTTACAGAAATCAAAAATCCTCTTAGAAATATTAATGGAAAATACAAGTTAAACACAAAATGGATTATATTGTATGTGTATGCAGCTGCAGTCTGGCGGCTTTGGCCTGGCTGCTGTGGCAAAGTTGAATAGTCTGACGGGCTTGAGATAGTCAATTTTGACTGAAGTTGCCCTGCCTCCTGACATGCCTGATAATAATGAAATTCTGTATCGGGGCCCATACCATATTTGGATGTTCACAGGAAAATTCTTGGGTTCATTGAACTGAGTAAGCAGTTTCTACTCCCCCACAGTTTTCATTAGATGTCAACGACGATTTGTCATCCAAGATGGTCCTTTCACCCCAACTTAACTTCCGCGACTCTTGTTGACGTTCATACTAGACATAATCTATTTAGAGGCTGGTTGAGTCTTCAGTCTTGCCATAACTCCGACTTGGGGAAACCTTCGCCAAGAGCATGGAATTTGTAGCCAAGGCTATCTAAAGACAATATGATTGTCTCCAGTTTCTGGCTTAACCTACTGTAGACCTAGTGCGCATACATAACTGATCACCAGGGTGATTTTGATTCCACCATTTTGGTGACCACCCCTTCATTTGTTGCTGTCCATTAATGTTGCCAAAGACACTGCAATCAACAATTCGGTCCTCACTTGTTTACGAAGTGAATTAAAATAAAAAGGCTTGTTGTGTAGCTGTTGGATGCTCAAACAGGGTAGGGAAGACAGGCATGTCTCTCTCGCGTTTTCCTGCCTGTGGCTGTGTAGTGAACATTATCTTTCTGGTAAGACATAAAATAAGTAGCCTACCGGTTGGGCAGCTGCAGCCCAGGCTGATGTTAGCACACCACTACCTGACACTGCTGGTAAGGCAATGCCTATTTTCATTCTAGTCCACTGGTGTGGCCAGGATGTACACGGATATAACAGTAGAAGGCCATTGAGTGTGACGGCTTTTAAATTTTAAAACACATTTTGAAAGAAAGCAATTTAGGCCTACAGCCCTTTGTGTACTGGGAATGTAATTATTATTGCAGAGGCAAAAAGAGAGACGTTCTCTCTGGCGGAAGTTGGATAGGAATCAGTAACCTGCACGTTTTTACTTAACAAGAAAACTCAGAAAATGCTCTAAAATGTCTAGTATTCAATGAGAACAAAAACAAGTATGCTACCGTATTCGAATTCAGACCGTAAAACGCGGGGTGAGACTGACAGTGTTTGGTCACAAGAGGGCGCTAGTCAAAATTATCTATGCATGACTGCGTACAGCGCACATGTTCGGCGGAACAATGCATGATGCAGTTGAAACAAATGAAAGGAATGGAATCAACGTGACTCAAAGAAAAGGAACCAGCGTCAGGTTAGAGTAGGGTGAAAACTCGACCTGGTTACACACATACACATGTGCGCTAACCTTACATACCTAGTGTGGACTTGTGAACAAAACATGTCCACACAATGCAGGAAAGGAAGACGTTCTGTGGACTTACACATGTCCACAGAACATTTCCCCTTCTCTGAAAATGAAGTTTAGAGGCATTCTGGGGTAGGGGTCATAAATGAAACAGGAATAGTCAAGGAAACCTTGGACAAAAAGCCAGCTGAAAATTGTGTTCCCAGTTCCAGAAAAATGAGTATTCCCACTTAGTTTTCTTAACTGCACAAAAAGGAAGGAATGTCCACACTAGGTATGTGAGGTAGTACACACAAGATGGAGTACACACAACGCCATTGCACCCTACATTATGTGGTCTTCTTTTGTTCAGAGGTCCACACTATGTATGCCATACCTGGGCACAGTGGTTGCTGTAAACCTGACAAAACTCCCTGACAGGATTTGTATCACGAAGTATGATGCAAAGATAGTGCATAAAGTCACCAAGCTAGACTAGCAACATCAGGAATATCACAAGAGCCCTTTGCAACCCTCAGACAATAAAAAAAGTAAAGCAAATGCCCCAAATTACAACTTTTCAAGACAGCAAGTAGCACAAGCTCTGCTATAATTCGGGTGCCAATGGCAAAAAAGGCCTCCTGTTCCAATGTCACTGGGCCAGCGCGTCCGTCCACTCACATAGGCTGTCCCTCATTATGGTCATACTCCCTTTGTATAACTTTTAGGTCAGGCTTTGCTCATAGTAATCCCAGTATTACCAGTCAGTAAACAAATAAAAAGAATGAAATAATTTCCTAAACGGGTCCCCAGTACAATAAGTAGGGTGAAATGACCAGAAGTGAGTCACCCAGGGCTCTGAGATTGGAATGGCATAGCCGAAACTTCCTCTCAAAAGTACATGCCTACATCTACCAAACATAAACTTGTTGCCAGTCACCACAGGATGCAGCTCCCCACACACCAATCGATCAAGTATGCACCACACTGACCTTGAATTTGGTTAGGATAAATAACATGCATATCGATTGATGTGCTCTTTGCAAGTTCCATTGAGAAGCGATGAATTGCAATCATGCCTGCCGCCCAATTAAATGCCCCCATTGTGTGGTGTGGTGTAATTTCCTCTTCTTTGCTGGACAGCAGTGTTTCTATTCAGAGGAATTGACAGTCTAGCTGTGCATGGGCCATGTGGCTGAACCAGCCATTCACTAGGCACACGAGGATAATGAATTCTGCGCAGCGGTATTGTCTTTACTAATGCGGCCAGATTCCACGAGCGTGCAACTGTATTGTATAGCTCATCTCTGGAGCGCTTTTGTCATTGCTGATAATCTGCTTGGGCTGGCAGTGGCAATCAAATGGTACTGGTTCATTGATGGATTAATGCCATGATTGGCAAGTCCCAGCAGCTCTGTGTTTTGTTAAAGAAAGTTCCGATTTTGGGCACCCTGGCCATGAAACGCCACACTTTGTCTCCAGTACCAGGCACCTGGCTGCTAGTATGTGAGTTTACAAAAAGTGAAGTCCCCTTAAGCTGACCCCTGGTCCAAAATAGTATTTGAGACACTGCAGATGTTCAGCTCATTCAAGTACAGAGGTGCTACAACTTGAAGATGAAAACTCAAAAATCATTACAAATGTTAAAATGTCTAGGCAGAATGTTCTCTGTCTAAAACTATTATGAATGTGACCTGTTTGATCAACCAAGCTTTGTGAGAAGTTGGACTGTACATCTAACTGTATGCATAACTTCCTCGACATCCAGAATACTTCCGGCAAATCACTTTATGATCATATGGATTTTGATTCATAATTCTTTCCTGCTTTTGCCTCAGGTGATGCAATGATCGTTAATAAATTAACTCTGGTGTGCTTGCTTACCTTGCTTAAAAGTACAAATAACTGTGGAGGTGTAAACCATAAAACTTTTCTTTCTGACAGCCTCGTAGGATTAGTGCTGTGTCCATTGCTGAGCGAGTTGCTGTTGAGAGAGGGGAAGATCTTGGCATTAGCTCTGGTTACTCAGTGCGATTTGATACAGTAAGGCCACGCCCTCAAGGGGCAGTGCTCTTCTGTACTGTTGGTGAGTTAATGTTATTTGGCAGAAATTATGGCACTTGGGTACACTGTGGCTACTGCATGACTGAATTTGTGCAAATTCTTTGCCAAATGGGTCAAAACACTGACAAAGGTTCCTTCCATTCTTTTTAACTTTATACAAATTTCCCTGAGCATTTTGCATCACATTTAAATGAATTCCTCAAGCCAATGTGACAAGCATGTAAGCTAGTGAAAGTAATAATTGAAACTGTTAGTTTGGCCTTACATTTTTATATCCTGACAGCGAAGGTGAAGGGGCATAGTATTCCACCTTTTCCTTCCCTGTGTGGGTTAGTGTGTTTGTGACCAGAAAAAGTCTCATCAGCATAATAACTTGAGAAATACTTTACGTGAACATTGGGTTTGTATTGCTCTTGGTACTCCCAAGGAGCGTATTGCATTTTGGGCTGGAAGACCAAGATAACGTATGTACATGTTTGCAGGTACTCTACTTCGGAAGTTGGAGGCTGGTCTGAGAGGTGTGTCCCATGTTATTGTGGATGAAATTCATGAACGAGATCTTAACGTAAGTATGTGGGTAGGCAGTATCACGTTTAGGGATTAAGCTGTTTTGTTAGGAACATAGGTATCGAGCTCCATGAAGAAGAAATTGCCCCTATAACATTTTTGATCCCCACAACAATTGAACATATGTAGTCCCTACTACTTCAGAACAAGTACATGTAATTTTTGTCTTTTCTCTCTTTCAGTGATTGAATTTTATCAGTGAGTGTTTGTTTAGGAATTAGTTATGCATGAATCTGGAATCCATCATTTCTCAATCAGCTCTTAAAAAGTAATTTTGCTGGATTGCATATCTGAATTTTGAGAAACAATAGTATTAGTTAAATTGTGGTTTTGTTTTGTGTAGCACTGAAAGGTATCTAATAACCTCTGATGACATGATCAGGTGTATGCTTGTGCAGATATGCAGGCACATTAATCATTGTCAACCTAACTGGTGGCTTATGCCAGTTTGTCATTAGGTTCTTGCAAGTGATCTCTGACAGATTGATGAACATGTCCTTTCAGACTGATTTTCTGCTAGTGGTCCTACGTGACATGCAGAGAGCCTTTCCAGAGATGCGCATCATTCTGATGTCAGCTACCATTGATACTACCATGTTCAGTCAGTACTTTGGTGACTGCCCTATTGTTGAAGTCTATGGGCGATCATATCCTGTGCAAGGTACCAGTGTTGCTGATTTTCTGTTTACATATAACTAAGCAAATTTAAGCTTGCCCTGAATCATTAGGTATAGCAACAGTGATTTTGATGTGGCGAATTCAAATTATCATGTTCACGTGAATTTAAAGAACTCAATATACCAGCTTTTATTCAACTTTTACTTGCAGAAGGCTTATTTGAAGTGCAGTTGGATTTTATTTGGAATAATGATGACATCCTAAAAAGTGAATTTTTTTAAACATATCTGAGGTAGTATTTGATCAGTTTTATTGCTGGGTAAGTATAAGAAGTTCCATAGAGTTTAAAGAAAGAAAAAAAAGAAAAATAAATAGTGCTGTCAGGGTGACATTATCTTACAAATTCTTATTTGTGAATATTGAATATTTTCTTCTTGGCATTGCTTCTGTGGAACTCTATTGCGTGTAGGTCAAAGCACATGCTTTCAGTCAGTATTGATTGTTTGCGATCCAGAACTAGGAAAATGACTGTACCAAACCTATGAACAAGAGACCAAAGGAATTGTCTTTTGTGGTGGAAGCGCTGTTGATGTACACTTGCATGACCTGTATTTGTAACTTTCAAACCCTGTTGGTCTTAATGACTTTTGTGCAGATGTGTTAGTGCTTACTGTTTGAGTTCAGAGTATTTTTTCAAATAAAACAATATGAATAAAAATTACTTTATATCGGGATTGACGACAAAGCGAGAGTGGATTGTGTAATATACCAGCAGTACTGAGATTCCATATGTACGGTAAGTAGTGATCACGCACAAATTGTGCAGTTGATCAGCCTCTATTAGCTGGTAACCAAAGCACTGAATGTGTTCTGTAACCCCAAAGAGTCAGAGAACCAGTTTAGTTTTGATGCCAAGAAATGTGCCATGGTCATCATTCAAACTTCACTTTCAAAATTACTTTTAGATTAAAGCAATATGAATTTCCTCAGTGATTCAGCGGAACTGTGGATGAGGAATTGAACAAAAAAGCAGGAAGGATGTTTTCTGTATGCACAAAAGCATTTCAAATCTAAGTGTTTCATTCGAAAAAAGGGAAATGTTGACAGGTCACAATACAGTCAGTCAAATGTCATTTGTCGAAGTACATAAAATCTTGACAACTTGTATCTCAGGGGAATGGATTTATCCTATTACAATTATTAAATAAAATAAACCAATTTATCGTGGTACCTTCAAGTGGCAAAGCTTTCGTTTGTTCACAACGTGAAGTGCTGCACATAGTCCTATTTTTTTCACTTGGGCTTCCCTATGTGTGGTGACATGACCTTTCCCTTTGTGGTCACATGGCCACTGCAGTGTCAGTGATTGGACTGCCTGAAGGGGACTACAATTGGGCCTGCATTAGCAATCAGGTTAGCTTCAGTAGCTTGAAAGCCAGGATTGCAGTTTTAGGTAGCATTGGTTTATTCAACCTGCATACAACTGGTGCTTGTGAGAAAAGAAATGCACTTGGCAGTGATAACTCCTACCCCTATGCAGACTTCCAATACTTTCAACGCCGTTTTAAGCATTTCTGTTAGTGTAATGAGTATATGAAACACACAATTTTTGAAGAGGAACATCAAAACAAACAAACAAACAAACAAACAAACAAACAAACACCCAACAACAACCCAACAACCCAACAAACAACAAACAACAAACACCCCAACAAACAAACAAACAAACAAACAAACAAACAAACAAACAAACAAACAAACAAACAACCCCAACAAACAAACAAACAAACAAACAAACAAACAAACAAACAAACAACCCAACAAACAAACAAACAAACAGAAGATGATTGCAAACAACCAACACACCGGCTACCATGCGAGGGACACAGACAAATACCCAGCTACCATGCAAGGGACACAGAGAAATGCTCGGCTACCATGCAAGGGACACAGAGAAATACCCGGCTACCATGCAAGGGACACAGAGAAATACCCGGCTACCATGCAAGGGACACAGAGAAATGCCCGGCTACCATGCAAGGGACACAGAGAAATACCCTAAATGCTGCACCATAAACCAACATTACTCATAACCGCAACTAATGCTGGCATCTTCTGCTTTCAACCTACCCCAAACAGTCGTTAAATATGCAAATTCCTTTGTGTCTGATTCTATTTGCTAAAATTCTGATCAACCATAGTGCACCCTCTAGTCCCATGATGCGTAGTGGAATGGCTGCCATGATCGTCCTTTTCCTGAACGGATCTGTCTTTTATGGCATCTTTTCGAGTTTGTCAAGTCTCTGTTTCACTGCCACTTTTCTGTGTTACTCTTGTCAACCATAACGTATTGTAATAAATGTATATTCAGTATTTTGATATATTTTCTAGTTTGATATGTGCATTTTTTTATTTTGTTGTATTTTTTCTTATGTGTATGCACCTTACAAACTCGCTGAATCTACATTAATTACTGTAGTACCAAGTGATACATAGGGTCAACAGGGTGACGTTGGGATTGTTGGGGTTCCTCGAGGCGTTGCAAGCGATTTGATTCGATGGCCCCACTCTCCCCTATAGACCAACAGGAGTCATTCTGCGGAAGATCGAGTGGCATTCCATCTATACTTGTAATTCTGTGCTAATTCCTGCTGGCAGTACCATCCTCTGTCCAGTTCAGGGTTAGCCCATGCCACGCTTTAAGGGTCTGAGCTGTAGTGCGTGCGAAATACGAATGCTCAATTCCCCAACTTTACCACCGAAGCGTCACAGTCAACGATAGTGCAGAGTGGCACTGCACTCAGGGTGAAATTTTCGCCTGCACACTGAGGGCCGAGCATGATGCCTATTGAACCCGATTGCTATAGTTCCTCAAGCTTCCCTACCCTTGTGCATCGCAGTCATCAAAAGTGTAGAGTGGTTCTGAACTCGGGGTGCACCACCACCACCACGCGTAACAGTTCCCAAGTAATGTCGGCCAGCAGCGACCTGTCCTCAGCCTACTGTAGCCTACACCGGCCCGCCTGTTTGGCTCACAACTCCACGGCCACATGCTTCCCACGCTGGTGGTGCCAACCACCTCGGGTGCCGTCATTTTCAAACATCTTTTCAACTAGTGCACCAGGGCATGATAGAGATGCTACTCTGCCTCGGACCAACAACCCATTGCTATCCGGGGCAGCCCCTGCAGAGACAATGCCGGGCCATGAGGACACTGCACCACCCGCGTCCCAGGCAGCAGAATCACCCTGGATCACAACCATTCCCATTCATGCGGCATGACTCACAAGGCTTGCAGTGGGACGACCCCATGCAACCCACAGTCACTCTTCATTGCGGGCATCCAGGCTTGGGTAGACACAACCTGCCACCGGACTGCCCCCTGCCTTAGATGATGTGGCCCCAGTGGACGCAATACGGGTCACGCAGGCACGATGCAGACCACAACTCAGGTACCCGGTCTGCTTTGCGGCCGAGGCCTCTGTATACTGTATGTCACTCTGTCGTCTACCTCCACCTCTACACTCGTGCCTCAAACCTACCATTCTTTGGTGCATCCAGGCGTGCAGTAGACACTAAACTCTACCAGGCTGCCCTACGTTGTCTTTTGCAGCAACCTATGGTGAATACGAGACCTGGTCACACAAATTTAGTGCATGCTGCTGCTCAAATAACTGTCATTACGCTATGCATAAGACCCCGAACGGCGCCTGAGACCTCTGCACCGGGAGTGCTAAGCCATGAAACATTGAAGTAGACTATCCAGGTGGACTGTCCATGATTCTTTGGGCTACCACAGTAAATATGACTTTAGACTATGTACGAGCAGCCTACTGGGTACAACCTTTCCACCACCGGTACCTGCTCATGGAGGCCTGCAGGAGACGATTTGACCTGCCACATGTGGGTGGTGTAATCCCCCTGGCATTGTTAGATGGGCCAAAATAACGTGGCTCTTTGAGGGTTAAAATCTCAGATGCTTTTTATGCCCCAGAGACACAGCATACCAGTGAAGTCCTCTAACGTGGTGAACTTCAGTGTTCCCTCGACTCTCCTCATGCATTGTTGCCAAATTACATTGTTGGAAAAATGATGAATTCATTCAGTTAAATACTGGTATTAGTAACCTTGTAATATGTGCTATCGAACCATAAAAACAGCAAATTGGAACATTGTCTGTAGAATATCATTTGAACTTTCCAGCAGGTACATAAACTCAATATTTATAAACAGACATATTGGGAGCTTTGTTAAATTTTCACTTTCTGTGAAATTTAACTTTCTGTGAAATTTAAAGTGAAATATTGTTCCAATAAGGCGCTAGGGGGGTAAAAAGCAAGGCACACTACATAGGGACTGCGCCACGTTACCAGTCAGATTGTATGGGCAAAACCCTAATACATCTGACTAAAAGAGTTCACCAAAAACACTCAGAAAGCGGAGTTGACATGGATTGAGGCACTTTGTGTAGTTTGTAAAAAATTACAAGTAATATCTATGTGGTAATAAAGCAAAGGGGTAACTAGGCCATTACAAACATACTTTTTCAGGCAGTTGTCCCACATGATTGTGGAAACTGACAAGTTTTGTGTGGTTTGTATGCCCATCTTAGAATGCACCTCACTTGTGATACTGAACACCATTGATTAATCACTGTTCCAACTTGGGCAGTACCACTTTGGCCCTATGTCATTTGGCTAGAAAATGGGACATTTTAGAGGCTGAAAAATTGCCATGGAGAACTTTGGTTGAATTTTTGGTGGTATTCACGACAGTCTGATGAAGGGTTCTGTGTGGAAATTTGGTTATCAACAATGTCTGGGTCGGTTATGTCAATTCTTACTGGCCTACTAATGAAAACATGACTTCACTACGTCAATATTTCAGTCTGCATTCTTTTCTTGCAGAATATTATCTGGAGGATATTGTCCAGATGTTGAACTTTGTTCCACCTGCCAACATAAGGAAAAATAAAAACAAGAAGGATGATGATGATGAAGAGGAAGCTGAAGATGAATTCAGTGTAAGCTTTCAGTAAACCCCTGAATTGGTAGGAGTAAGAGCTAGTAAAGATGGAGGTACAGTAAACTTCGGCTAAGTCGGCACTCTTGGGACTTAGGAAATTATGACGACTTATGCAAATTGCTGAGTATTGATGTACTCAAGCTGATTGATTATCAACCATGGCCTGTGCTGCTAATGTACAGACATTAGTCAAGCAGTGTGGAACTTGTCACTTGATACTTCTTGGCAACCATGGTCAAGGAAACTGATACTGAAGCGTGATTTTTTTTAATGCCAACTTACACATAGGAATTTTTGTGGTTTTTTGGAAGAGGGACCAAGAAAAACATGCTGACTTATACGAAATGACGACTTATAAATGCCAACTTAGAAATGAAATTTTAAATGGAAATGCATTACAGACAGTCGGGACTTTTGATATGACGAGTTGCGCGATGCCGACCTAGTTGAAGTTTACTGTACATTTAAGTGGCTAGGGATTTGATTATTTGGCCATTGAAGCTCTGTTGGCATGATGCACAGCCATAAGGAAATGATAGCATCAGATGCAGCCTTACCCTATCAAATAACAGGACATACTTTGGCTGGTATTAAGTCTGTTCCATTACTAGAAATTAAGTTAATGATAGTGGAGTGTTGTTCTTCCTCAACTTGTAAGTGGTTCCAAAAACTGTTATTAGAAATTTATGGAATTTAAAGAGCCCAAAGGATTGTTATTTTTCATCAAAATGTACATTATAAAAGAAAGACTAACAAAAATAATCACTGTTCAGAATATTACGTGTACATATTGTGGGTCATTCTGTAACTGGGGTCCAATTTTTATGTTTGTCCCTGTCACATCTGATATATGAGTTTGTAAGCTTAGAAAACATTCTTAAATTTGCAAGAAAGACATGCAAAGAAGTAAAAAGTAGTTTTGAAGTCAATTTCAATGATGCATGTATTCTGTGTCCTGTTACACAGGTCAGGTGGAAAGGGACAGAAAAGTGTCATACTTTTGAACCTCCTTTTTATGAAATGACCTATTTGAAAAGGACCTTTCACCGTAGTTTCTTGGGTTTGTTTCCATTTCCTGGGCTTTGGGTGTGATCCTTGATGATGAATAGCATCTACTGTTGCACCACATTTGGCAAGCTACCCCAGAACATAGACGTGTCACAATGGAATGTGTTTCCATAATAGCCAAGGTGGATGGTTTCTAATATACATATATATATTTTTGGATCAAAGTTCTGCGGAATGAAATGCAGAGTGTTTGAATGCAGCTGTAATACCTGAAACCAGCCTGGGATTATTACAATCAGGAAAAATACAATTCTAAAGTGAGAAACCATGATCTATTTGTATGTTTTTTGTTTCATATTCTGTTACCTGCTGTTTTTATTGGCCAAATATTCTCATGATTTCTTTCTTAGGAGAACCTAAACAAGCAAGTTTCCACTCAGTATTCAGAACGAACCCGTAATGCTATGGCACAGATGAGTGAGAAGGAGATGAACTTTGACCTAATTGAGGTAAGACTTGATTATTCATGTGTTTGACATCTTCAGAGTTTTGGATGCACTCTTTTGGAACATCGAAAGGAAAAACTGATGCAAATGACATATTTTGAACATTGCATTACACATGTTTACCAGCCTTGTGCTAATTCTTTTTCTAACAGGCCTTCCAAGCTTTTCAACTGTAAGCCCATATAAATTGTCACTAGCCCATTGTACAGTTCACCATCCAAAGAATATTTTTATGAGGGGTGATTTTGTGTACCAATATTAATGTACACTTTCAAACAAATTTAAAAGAAAGACAGATTTCAGTTTGAGGAATAAGGAAATGCAACAGATACATGGAACAAGAGAAATAATTTTTCGTATTTATGGAAATTGTGAAGCCATAAAAATGTTCCATAATTATGTATAAAGACTTCATGTGCATAGACAACTATGGATGAAACCACATGAGTGCATAAGCACATAAGCATTAATGTGGTGGAGTCATCGAACATGTTGCCCTGCTATGAGGCGAAGAATCCATAGCATAAATGAATAGGCCTGTCACCCCTAGTTTTACTTTGAATGATTTCTATAGTCAGGGCTTGGTAAATAGCTGGAAATGAAGGTTTTTTTTTTTTTTGAGATTTAGAACTTGGAAATTTGACTTCCAAAGAGACATTTATGGGTAAGAGAACAAAAGATTTGAAGGACAAATGAATTTTACGTTAGTTTATAAGTTTGGTTGGGGCATTTTTCTATTCTCTTTTGCTCGCTTGTTTTTTTTTGGGGGGGGGAAGTTTGTTTTTTTATTCGGGCCCTCTGCTGGCCTGGGAATCACAAATGCTCATTACCTGTTGTGTTTGTTAGGATCAGGCAGGATGGGAAGCCCCCACAAAGAAAACCCTTTGATCACTCTGGAAATTTAAAAATTGCAGTCATGGATTAGTGAGCATTAGGCTTACTATACTGTTTTGATTTTAGTAAAAACTTGCAAGATTAATGTTGTATGGAATTATTATTATTACAAGAAAAATTGTTGCAATAAGAAAATGTCTCTGACACCGCAATTTGTGGTCACCTAGAGACTACTTGGAATTTTGTCTGATGCAGCCATCTTCCTCTTCAGACTTCATTCAATTTCAAGTTGAAATTTTGTCATGAAGGGTTTCATAATATTTTATTTCAACAGAGTTTGCATCACTACATCATTCATACAAAAAATATTCTCTTACCACATTTGTAGTTTTATTTAAAAGCTATTTCCATATTCTAGGATGGACTCTATATTGGGCTGTTGGGCATATCAGATGCCTTCAAGTGACTTGAATCTGCTTGAAACAAGCTTCCATAGTGGGATTTTTCTCATTAAAAAAGTATGAAAATAGTTACTGAATATTTGATGATTGATTATTCAGATATTTGGCACAGCCCTATTTTGAACAAAACAAAAGGAAAAGGGATCCTGCATAGGGCTTTTTCCAGTTGGGTATTGGGTATTAGGGAGATCCATCACAGCCCTGATATACATATCTCGTTCACGTTGAAAGCTATTGTTCCCTTTTTTCTCATTTTTTATCACTACTTTGTTTATTGAGTTGTTTTCCTGTCATTTGAATTTATCTCAACTGTTATCTTTTGTTTAGTCCAGGGATATGTGTACACATAATCCATCCAGTGTACTTATTAGAACTTTCCTGCACTGTCTTGTGATAGCTCCTACTTAATAATGGTGTTAACAGTGCATTTTTATGTAGGAAAGTCAATAATCTACATCTTATCTGTATTATGTGAACAGGCATTGCTGACCTACATCAAGAACCTCAATGTGCCTGGTGCTGTCCTTGTGTTTCTGCCTGGTTGGAACTGGATCTTTGCCCTAATGAGGCACTTACAAGAACATCCAAAATTTGGTGAGCCAAGAAGGCCAGGGGTGGGATAATTATTTTTGTTTGTTTTCAAAATTCCTTAAAAAATTCATATCTTCATTTACTGGACATTTGCACCCACACGAAGGACTATCTGGTTCTACTCTAATCTTATAGACAACATCTATTGACACTGGAATATTTCCCCCAGACCTGCTGCCTTGTAAAAGAGCCCAGATTGTGTGGTGTTACGTAATTTTTTTTCTTCACGAAACTGGTACAGTGCACTGCTGACCTCTTTTCAATAGGGGCCAGATTAGCATGCAGTGGTGCTGTGTGGCTCATCGCTGCAGTGGTGGAGCACTTTTGTCCTCGTTGGTAATCCGTTTGTGCTTAATGCCCCAAACCGTGGTATACTGTTTCAAAACAAGGCTGGATAATCTCCACTATTTAGAATGAAAAAATGTTGTTAATTCCCAGCAGCCTGGTCTTTTGTTATGAGTATGGTCTTTTGTTAGAAGGCCCAGTTCCCTTTGTCTGATTTTGAAGACCCCGGCCAAGCGTATAAAGAATACGTGTCCGAAACCGGAATCCCCAGCAGTAAGTGGTTAAGGGGAACAAATAGAAAACATGTAGTTCATTTGACATATTTTAAAATAACAATAAATATGTAACCATTTAAAAGACATAGTAAATTTAATGTTTACACCGTTAATTGTAATCTCAAAATGTATAAAAAGATCTTGTGTTTCCCCACCCACAAATAATCCCCTTTTGGCCTTCGTGCTCCCGGGCTGATTGGATGACGTTATTGCCAGAACGCTGAAATGTACATTGTACATGTACATTGTGCACAGTACATGTAGTACCGCATGCTTC